CTTGGAGTTAAGTCTTCCATTAACTGAGTTCCATTCAACTGAAAAAAATCATAATCAGAAAGCAGTTCTGCCTGGTTACTGGCCTGTGAGTGCCTTGAAAGTACTCCATAAGGAACACTCAGAAAGCTTCTGTACCCTGACGCCCCGAGCCGGGCCCTGCCTGCCTCCTCCCCAAGGAACAGGCCACCTGGTGGTCGACCAGCGAACCCATCATCCATCAGCATCATTGGGTTATTCGTCCATTCTTCTGCCCCCGTGAGGGGCCGGGGCCAAGGGTCCAGCACCAGAGATACACAACTAAATAAGGCACCGTCTGTGCCCTCGGCGGCAGTTCAGGCTCAACCCGACCACATTCTCCATTTGGTCGAATTCCAGAGAGTTTGTGGCTGAGCTCACTCTCAAGGTCATAAAAATGCAAACATTCAGAAACTTTCATGTCTCTGTGTAGTCTGTTGTCCTCAACGTCTGCCCCAAATGCATTAGCTTAAAATGTTCTGCATTTACTGAGTAAGGCTAATGTCTCTCTGTCCTTCAATCAAATCAAATTTTCTTCTGGTCCTTTCCATCTATCACATCTGAACCTCTTCTGAGTTCCTACTCAGAAAGGGAAGAACATCCTGGGCAAAGGTCCTGCGCTCGCCCTGGGCAAAGAGGAGGAGAGGGAATCAGGGAAATCTTCCCAGGGAGGGAGGGACTTGAGGCATGTCAGTCACCAGCTGGGAGGGGGCATGAGACGGAAAGTCGCCACTAAAGCAGGGACATATTATTGACAATAAAATACTTTAATACGTGGAGAGTAGAGTAGCATAGGTGTTAAGTCTGGGCTTCCATTCGATTTGATTTCTCCTATAAGCTCGTCAGTTAGCCTGTTAGTGTTTCATGGACGCTGGCGGAAGACATGAGACTGCTGGGTCAGAGACCAGGGACCTTATTACTCACCGCACAGCCAGCAGCATGAGCCTCGGTTTGTGCTGGCTCCTCTCTGCTCCTAAGTCCATGCGGGCTGGCCAGCGGGCCCAGACAGAGGCCGGCCCACGTGATGGGTTGCAATATAGGCCATGAGCGTTGAGCTTGAGGAATCCACTGCCTGTAGCGAACAGGAAGGAAGCTATTTCCTCAGGTTTCATGATCGCTCGCTGCAAACACGACCCTGGAAAACGACCCAGATAGAAAGCAGTCGGGGCCTCTCATGCTTAGCCTTACTCGGAAAGCACACGTGAGTGTGAGGCGGGCGGAGGAGCGTCCCCCGACACCACGCCAGCACTGAAGGAGTCTTGAATCCTAGGTCTCATGCCGTGAGCCTGGACTGATCGCAGTTGCCAGACTTCTTTTAGCCTTGGTTTTCTCATCTGTGGAATGGGGATGATGCTTCCCTTTCAGGTGATTAGTAAAGATTACATAAGATCACTCTTCTGGGGACACAGTGGGGAACAAAAGATGGGTCTGAGCTCAGGGAAACTAGTCGCGTGGAGAATCTTTTCAGCTATACAAAATTATACAGTGTCAGAAAACAAAGGCAGGAGAAGTAAATACAGAAGGGAATACGGACCATGATTCAGGAATACGAAAGCTTCAAGGAAATCTCTCCGAAGGGTGGACGTTGGACCCGGCATCCTGAGTTAGGAATATTTAAGCAGGCTGTGGGAAAAGCATTCTGGGCAAAGCTAATAGCCTGTGCAAAGGTCCTG